GGGAATTGAACCCGGGTCCTCTGCAAGAGCAGTCAGTGCTCTTAACCACTGAGCAATCTCTCCAGCCCCTCTAGTTATATATTTTGATGCATAGCTTGCATTAAATAATCTACTGATCTTTCATGCAAAAATTATAATTTATACTACACCTTCTTAAATTCAAGAATGGATAGCTGACTTTAAAAGGTGGATTAAAAGATTCACTTTCTCATCCCACAGCTGTTTCATTGGAAAAAGATGACGCCGACAGATCAGAGAACTGTCTAAATCATGAGGCAGAAACATCCATTCCAGAGAAAGTGGGCTAAATTATAAATAAAAGCAAAATTATAAAGAAAATTGTTTTCTCTTGGCTTTACAGATGTTAGCAATTTACTGTCTTGAGTTTTATAAAACAAAATGTTTCAAATACTGTTATGGCACAAGTTCACTGCAGCATCAATTAGAGCATCAATTAGAGACTCATCATTAAGGATTTAAATAAAACTGAACTGAATTATTTGAAAGAAGATGCTGCAGCCAGTAGTGTCTCCTGGAGCTGTATGTAATCTCCAGATCTGGCTAGACTTGCTGATCACTGTTACCAGTCACGCATAGAAGACCTTTTCTGCGAAGCTTGAACAAAGACTCATGTGTACCAGAAACTTGCAGTGTTGAATATCTATTTAGACTCTCATGGTTTTTCCTGTACCACTGTGCTGACACAAAAGTGAAAGCAGGCAGATATCACCTCGGCATGATAGGGACAGTCATTAAGGTCCTCACTATGGTCCTCACCTGTATCGTTTCCATCACACCCTCATAGGAAGAGCTGATATATTCGTACAAGAATGCTTGATGCAACAGCATAAAATACAGCTTTTATTGTTAATCTTGAGAACACTTAAAAAAATTCTTCACGGTAAAAAGGAAAACGCACGAGGCACTTTCCTCCATCACCAAGACTACTGCTGCCTGCAGAAAGGCACTCCTATGCCAGTCTTGGCTCCACAACATTTTTTTTTTTTTTCTGTCTTTTTGAGACAGGGTCTCCCTGTAGCCCCAGCTGTCCTGGAACTCGCTATGTAGACCAGGCTGGCCTTGACCTCACAGAGGTCCACCTGCCTCTGTCTCTGGAGTGCTGGGATTAAAGGCGTGCGCCACCACACCCGGCAGCAACATTTTTTTTTTTTTTAATTGAAATTTACTTGAAAGAATGACCATATTCTAACAAGGGTTACTCACATAAGAATTTGGCACCTAGGCGGGGTGTGGTGGTGCACACCTTTAATCCCAGCACTCCAGAGGCAGAGGCAGTCGGACCTCTGTGAGGTAAAGGCCAGCCTGGTCTACACAGCGAGTTCCAGGACAGCTGGGGCTACAGGGAGACCCTGTCTCAAAAAGACAAAAAAAAAAAAAAAAAAAAAAAGAATTTGGCACCTATTTTCCGAAAATCCAGCAAAGTGACCTAGTCACCTTAAGAAAAACATATGACAAAATATGTGGCCCACAGTAAGTCTGAAGGGGGTTTGTTGTTGTTTTACATTATTATTACTATTACTACTATTATGATTATTATTGTGTGTATGTAAGACTGCAGGTATGTGCATGTAATGACACTTATGTGAAGGTCAGAATACAACTTTTCAGAAGTCAGTTCTCTCCTTCAGGTTCCAGGGATCCAAGTCAGGTTGTCAGGCTTCTACACAGCAAGTGCTTTCACCCTCTGAGCCACCATGGCAGCCCAAGTTTGAACTTCTAATGGTATTTCTCATGTGGATAGTGAGAGGACTGTTGTAAGCTTTCACACCATGCAATGTAATATGCCAGTGTTTGGAAAATGGACATAACTTAATGAACTGAGATCTTTTCTTTTTTGTTTGTTTGTTTGTTTGTTTGTTTGTTGAGATAGGGTCTTGCTATGTAGTCCTGACTGCCTGTAATTCCCTATGTAGACCAGACTGGTCTCATATACACAAAGATTCCCTTGCCTCTGCCTCCCAAGTGCTAGAATTAAAGGCATGCACCATTTTTTTTCTTTTTTTAAATATTTAATTTATTATTTTTTATGTATGAGCATATTGTCTGCACATAAGAGTTATGCAATTTGGGAGTCTTTTAGGTAGACCCACTGAAGGGGTACCCCAAATGCCTCACCATGCATCCCTATTCAGCATGGAAGAAGTCAGAGCAGTCTGCGTCCCAATTCCCTATCCGCAAGTTGGGTAACCTCTTCAGAGGAAGGTGTGATAAGAATAGGAGGTAGGAATTGGCTAGGCAGTTAGGGTTAAAAAGACCCCCCCCCAAAAAAAATTAGCCAGTTTCTTGGCTAAAAGTCAAAATGTCCTTGGGCCTCTTAGCAACATACTCCATTCCAAAGGCAAAAAAAAGTCAAAAGTATTTGGGAGCTCTTATCTAATCCTTAAAAAATTTTAGGGTTACCTCTTCACAAGGGGGAATGAGTAACAAAAATCTCCATAAAAAAGAAGAAAGAGTATATGAACTTATCAGAAAAAAGTGATGGGGAGATATGGAAGGAGTCGGAGAGAGTGCACATGGATTTGATCAAAACACCTTACATACATGTATGAAATTCTAAATAAATTTTTTTAATTTATTATTTTTTTGTGTATGAGTGTATTGTCTGCATGTATGGTAAGTGTACCCGTGTTGTGCAATGCCCACAGAGCTCACATGAGGGCATCGAATTCCTCTAGAACTGGAGTTATGGATAGTTGTTAGCTGTGATGTGGATGCAGGGAACAGAATCCAGGTCCTCTGTAAGAACAGTCAGTGCTCTTAACTGCCGAATCATCTCTCTAGTCCCTGGGTCAAGATCTTCCAAACAAATTACACATAATACCAAACCATGCAGAGGCAAAAGACCCAAAACCCAAAACAGACCAATGGATTGTGTGTGCATGTATGTATTGGGTGTGAGTGCACATGTGTGCATGCACTTGGAGGCCAGAGATTGATACTGGGTGTCATCTACAATCACTCTCCACATTATTTTTTTTTCCTTTTTCTTTTAATTTACTTGACAATCTCATACATGAATACACTGTATTTGCATCATTTCTATCCCTTCCTCTCCTCCTGCATCTCTTTCAAATTTATGACCTCTTCTTCTATAATTATTTTACACACACACACACACACACACAAACACACACATACACACACACACACACAGCCCTACTAAGTCCAAATAGTAATGCCTTCATTTTCACATGTTTAGAGCTAACCTCTTAGGATTGGGCACTTGTCCCTGAAAAAAATAATCATATAAAACAGGTTCTCCCTCTCAGCAGCCATTAGCTGTACATCTAGAGGTAGCACCCTTTGGCCACCTTTTCTTTGAGACAGGGTCTTTGAATTGGCCTGGAGCTTGCCAATTTGGCCAGCAAGCCCTAGGAATCTTCCTGTCTCTGTCTGCCTAGTACTGAGATTATAGGCACACACCAGCACGAGCTTTTTTAACATGGGTGTTGGGACTCTGACCTCAGGTCCTCATGCTTTCATGGCAAGCACTTTATCAACTGAGCCATCTTCATAGCCCAGGTCAAAATATTTTAGTATAACAAAGTATGACAATCTCATTAATATAAACTCAAATCCCACACTGTGACTAACCTTTTATAAAATGACTATTTTTCAAATTTAGGTAAAGCATCAAAGCAAAATATCTAAAATATCTAAGATGGCTATTAGAGCATTACTGCCTTTTTCAACTACATATCAGTAGAGTGTGGGGGGGCGTGTAGGTATTTTAACCAAAGCCAGTATATCCCACCAGACTGAATGTAGCTTTCCTATGCCAGACAATAAGACTCACAAAGATATAAAAACACCACCACTTGCCAAACAGGCTCTTTTTTTGCCTTAGAAAACATCATTTAGTATTATTACTATTATGTGTGTGTACAGTGTATTGTGTGTGTCGCTGTGGATACATGCAGAGGCCAGAGAAGGACCCTGGGTGTTCTACACTATCACTCTCCACCTTAGCTCCTTGAAGCAGGGTCTCTCACTGAACCTGGATCTCACCATTTTTTTCACCTGGGCTGGTTGACCACCAAGCCCCAGGGATTTGCCTTCTCTGTCCCTGCCCCAGTGCTGGGGTTACAGTATGTGTAACAATGCCCAGCTCTACTTCAGTGCTAGGGCTCTGAAGTCTCAGCAAGCACTTTTAGCCACTGAGCCATCTCCACAGCCTGTATTATATTTTGTAAATGAAGCAATTTTCTCTTGAATTAACATCCTCTCGACTACTTCCCTTCCTTGCAGTTCTGAGAATGAACATGAAAATCCATGTTCATGCTAGGAAAGTACTACACACAGTCAAATAAATATTGTAAAACTTTCTGTTATAGTTTCATATATGACAAATACTGAGAAGTATAACCCACACAAAGTTCTTTGGGATCTTTAATAATTTTTAAGACCGTAAAAGGGAACTTAGGGCCTACAAGATGAATGCATGGGTAAATGTTCTTGCTGCCAAACCTGATGACCTGAGTTTGCTCTCTGGGACCAAGATGGTGGAAGGAGAAAATAAACTCCTGCAAGTGGTCCTCAGACCTCCCCATGCATGCATGCATTGCATGTGTGTACACACACACACACACACACACACACACACACACAAATAAATAAATAAACCTAAGGGAATATAAAAATAAAGGGGCTGGAGAGATGGCTCAGCAGTTAAGAGCACTGGCTACTCTTACAAAGGACCTGGGTTCTATTCCCAACACCGACATGGCAGCTTACAACCATCTGTAACTCCAGTTCCAGGGGATCCCACACCCTCTTCTAACCTCCATGAGCATTCATGACATGGGCACACTTACATACATGCAGGCAAAATACTCATTCACATAAAATAAAAATAAATAAAAAATAAAAGGTAACTGAGAAAATTAAAAAACATTATCGTATATCATTTTCACTTTACCAAAACATGCTAAGACTAGGAAAAATGAAATCTAGTGGTAAGATAAATGGACTTCACTTACAGCAAAAAGGCCTCATTTACAGCTTCAAAGAATTCAGGCCAGAGGACTTCCTGAGGTTCATGTCCATGGTAAGTGAGTAGAGCCTCCACCAAGGGTTCAAAATCAGGCAGAGTAACAAGTGGGACACAAACCCGCGACAGAGACATCATTCGTTTGGGAGTCATCCTATTGGAAAAATAAAAAATGATTGCCCAGATCTGAAAGCTACATGTAACTACACATATATAAACTCTTCATGCTGAAAAGGTCAGTGACAGGTCACCCATGCTGGTCTAAGAAAGAACTTTCCTAACATCATCCGCTAGCTCTCTTTTAAATCTACTCTCCAGGAAGAACCATCCTCACCATCATTTGCACTTCTGCAGCATTCACTGGCAGGGCTTTATTTGTATAGCTATCTGCAGACACCTCAGCTCACCAGGCCCCACAGAGAACTGAATATCCTCCCATGGAGCCACCTACACAGATGCTGGCTCTGGTTTCTCTCTTCCTCTCAATCCTGGTCTGATCCTCAATACTCCACTACCACCCTCCTGGCTTGGACCACCTCCATGTGGGGTCTCCTGACGCCCTCTGACTCATCTTACTTCTACTACTTATCATCACAACAGTTCCAGCAGCCCTCTAAACCTTCATATCACTGCTCACAGTTTTGCCCAAGTCCTTTCATAATAGGCTGCCCAGGCTCTTGCTCTTCATTCTAAGTAAGGGCCTGCTGTCCATCCTACCTGTGACACATATCTAGTTCCCTTGCTTCACACAGGTCTCAGCGCAAATGTTGCTTTGTCAGACTTCTCTGACCATTCCTTTTCTGTGTACTGTCCACCATGTGTGGCAATTTAAATGAGCTAAGATGAAGTAAAACTACAGACTGTGGAGGCACTAGCAGTGTTTCAAGAGCTCAACATCTGTGCTAAGCCAGTGGCTGTAGTGCTGGACAGTTAAAGATATGTCCTTGAACACAGACAGCATCCCTGATGAGCACAGCTGCAAGAGCACTCTCCCTGTTCTTCACTTTCTCCTTAGTGCCTCCTACCTCCTGACCTGTCATGCCTGCACACTGTTCAGGAGCTAGCATGGAAGCTTTCTGAAGTAGGCTCTTTTCTCTATTTTGCTCTGAGCTATATTCCTAGCATTTAGGGATACTGTTTACACATTGTGCATGCCCAAGAAATAAATGTTACACGAATATCTAGCGATTGATGAAAGCAAAGGTCTGAGTATCAGATCCTCATCCAAGTATTTTCATATATAATTATAAACATAAATTTAGTCTCTCTCTCTCATATATATATATATGAATGAGAGAGAGACAGAAGGAGAGACAGAAAGAGAGGTTTTTTTTTGAGACAGGGTCTCCCTGTAGCCCCATCTGGCCTGGAACTCACTACGTAGACCAGGCTGGCCTTAAACTCACAGATACCTGTCTGCCTGTGTCTCCCGAGTGCTGGGTTTAAAGGCCTGTGCCACCACGCCCGACAAATTTAGTCATATTGTAAATGTGACAAATGTACCACATAGGCTGGTCTTGTCATTTTAAATTTGCTGCCTACTATTAAATGGTACCTCTTAAGTGACAAGCAGTCGGACTGTTCTTATGCTTTGATATTACACACAGTGCTGAGGCCCTATTATTAAACATGCATGTGTTACATACTCAAATATTAAATTGCTTTCACAGGGTCTGGAGAGGTGGCTCAGCAGTTAAGAGCACATACTGCTCTTGCAGTGGACCCGGGCTTGATTCCTAGCACTCAAGTTTGGGAGGCTCAAAACCACCTGCAACTCCAGCTCCAGGGAATCCAATGCCTCTGGCTTCCAAGGGTACCTACAATACCTTCATGTGCACCCACCTACACACAAACACATAATTTAAAAAAAGTTAAAACAAATGAATTGCTTTCCCAACGACTGTACTAATTTATTTTTCCACTCTTGCTAATGATATTATTTCTTCATTTTTATTTCTTTTGATTTGACAAAAATCCATTCTGTTGCTTTAATTTGAGATTGTTATTCATTCACATTTCCTCTTTAGTGACTTTGCTTTTAAATTGGTGGGTAATATCTCTGTCCTATCTGCTTAATAAATATATACTAATCAGGCCTATATCCATTCAGGACTCTGTTTGAGGTGTTTGTAACACAGGAGCAAAGACAACAAAGCTGGTAAGGCGAGAAACAAATACCAGATGACAATGCCAGACTGAAAAGTAAAGGACTCTGAGGGGAAAAGAAGGGCCAGGAAAGTCTTAGGAGGAGGAGTTTGAGCAGAGATCTGATCAATGTGGAACAAACCATGGAGATATCTGAGAGAAGTGCTGCAAGCTGACCCAAAGCAAATGCAAAGATCCTGAACATCTGTGAAGGTCAAGGAAAGCAGCACATAGATGTGGAGAGGTGCAGCTATACAGTATACTCTGCTGGCCTCTGTAGAGCCTTACATATTTTGTAAACTTAGGAATTTACTTTTATTAAATTTTTAGAAGCAACTATATTAAAGTCACACAGTTCTCCAAAGTTTATGAAAAATAGAGGGCATTCCTACCCCCATTTTCTGATCTTCATAAGTAGTTATATTTGACTACACTTTGGATAATCAATGTTTACTTTGCTGAAGCATCAGTGGAACATCTATTAAATTACAGAGAAAAGGGGACCCCAGGATGGGGGAATGATGCTGATGAGAATATAAATAAGCAGATACAACCACTCTGAAGAACATTTTGTAGCACCCAGTAGTCATGTCTCCTTATAGGTTAAGGACACTTAAACAGAAGTGTTTGGAAAGGGTGGATTCAACTTGCTATGTATTTGTAGAGAAATGAATAAATTACAAAGTATGATTTACAGAATGAAATGCTATATGGCAGCTAAGATGAAATGAACTGGAAATACATAATCTAGATACATAAAGCTCAAAAACATAATTATAAACAAAGAAAGCAAGTTATAAAATATATCCATAGTATGACATTACTTATATGAAATCTTAAAACATTCACAGTGATACATATACATGAAGTACAAACACTAAGAATACTACAGGAAGATGTCAACTTCTTGAAGGGGCTGTTCCTCTGGAGAAGTAGTGAAGAGAGAAAAAAAAAGCTTTCAAACTGTCACTGAAACTGTTTTCTTAAAAGAACATAAGTAAATAATAACATTAGCATTGTAAAATTTTGGCATGGGTACATAGAATTTCTGTATGTCACAAATATTGTATAATTAAACTTTTAACAACTAAAATCTATTGTTAATAAAATACTGGAATAAAGTAATATTCATAATAATAAAAGACTTATTCCCTGTTTCAAGTTGTTTCCATGCTAGCAAAGGAGCTTATGAAAAAGTGCTCATTCTCAGCTGTGAAGTGCTTGCTGCTTAGTCCTCCTCTGGAATGTCTAGACTATTTACACATTTTTGTATGTTACTTGATGATAATGGTCTCTTTATAGCTATTTGCACTTTTGATTTTGCCAGTCAAGATCATTGAACAACTTATCTGTCAGATTTAGTCAACTGAAGAATCTGTCTATGAATATTTGTATTAAAACCAGAAGTCAAAATGCATCACTAAACTCAAATTATTCTGAAAATCTGTAGTAAAAGGAACTGGATGAAACTGAGCATGCCACATAACCTTGGACAAACACATGTCACAAAAACTCCTCTGTTGGTTTTGAACTTTACAACAGCATTTGATGCTTTGGGTGAACATGTCAACAGGTGACATGAAACAGAAGGTCCAGTCATCATGGTTAATCTGAACACATCAGAAATCAAAGAGAGGCAGGAACTTATACACAGCCTATGGAGTGAACTATGAGCCCACATCTGTTTCTGTCTTCTCCTGTAACAGAATCAACCAAAAGATTTGTCCTTATGAGTCCAATTCTTCAACTGACTTTCCAATTTAACAAGTTGTTCTTTCTCTGTGAGTCAAATTCCTAGAGAGGAAAATAAAGGTTTTGGTACTACAGATACTACCCACCAGGAAGCTGCTGGTGTTTTGGAAATTGCTGGCATCTATTCTGCATGCTCACTCTTCTGACTTCTATCACACAAGTCCACTGGACAGCAACAATTGAAATAACTTCCTTTTGTGACAGGCTACACTTCATAATTGTTGCTATGTTCCAAGTATTTGTTCCAGGTACCATTTTCAAAAACAATATGGTCAAATTCCTTGGCGCAGAGCAAAGTCCACTGAAGGATGTCTATGTTGACAGTGGACGGGCAAAAGCAGCCAGGTTGAAATGGCAACAGCTGTGGTTAATAGTTTAGGCTATTCCTAGCAAAGGCAAGCCTATGTTGGGCAGAATTAGTATGATTCCTAACTGAATTCATGAAGACTGTCAGAGCCTGTGCTAGCATGGCATCCCCTGGAGCCTGACTCATCTGAATCATTCCCACTTTGCTCTACTGAGTGATGTTAGTGTAATCTTTCTTTCATTTTCTTCTCTAAATAATTTCACAAAACAATGAAATGTATTTTCCCCTCTTGGAAACTTTTGTCATTGTATTGAGCCTATACGTAGTTTTCAAGAGAAATTCAACCTCTTCTACAGAGTTCATTTACTCTCATCAGAAGATTGAATTTAAAAAGTAACTTGATGCCTCACATGTTTTTTGAGTCTTTTTATGAGCTTTAAAGTCTCATTTTTTAATTGAATTTTTTGTGTATTTCATATAGAACAGCTCAAACAATCTTAAATAATCTTTATACCCCCATCCCCACTGAAGCCCATATGCTCTGTCATCCCTGTTAAGGCCCACTGGATTGTCAGTGTCCTCAGCTGTTCCCCAGCACAAGTCCGTCCACTAAGTCTAGTCAGCCCATCTAGAGTCCCTTGTTTTAGGAAGATCATCTCTTCTTCATCTAGCAGCAATCAATTGCCAACATTCCATCAGATAAGATTGAGCTCTGCTGTTCATTTTCCCAGTTCTATGCTGGGTTATTTTATGCCTGAGTTTGCATGGGACTTCTGTATGCTGACACCATTGGCATAGAATCACATGAGCAGGTTCCCAGGAGCTTGTAGGACTCTGTTTCCATATGATCATACACCTCCTCCTTGGCTCTTACAATCTTCCCACCCCCTCTCCTGAGATGGTCCCTGAGCCTTGGGTGAGTGAAGTTTAATAAAGGGGTCCTGTCCAAG